TCTTTGACCGTTTACGAACAATACAGGGAGAAGTTCACTCATCCGCTGGTTAAATTACCCAATGGCACACCTCATATATCCCTCTACAAATTAGTAGCTAAATCGGTAGATACACATTAAAGAGGCAAAATAAAAATATAAGTCACTTGACCGTTCTTGATGCAAGTAAATCGGCACATCAATTTGGACGTGGTCAGATTGTAATTATATTGTTTCAAACTATATTACTTATGGCCCCCAAATGCCCTGGTACGGCCAAGACCGGAGAAAGTCAGTTCACCCTTTCGAAATGCTCCCACATGGCCACGCGTATATAGTCTCTGCCAGGTAAGTCCTACTCACTGCATTCTCGTGGCATTAACGGTGTTTACGAAATTGAGAGGACGAAAAGCGAATGTCGGGCGATTTAACCGGGTTGGTGAACATGGAGAATCCACCTAGGGGAGTTGGTAAACCCTAATTTCAAACCAATGGTGCACATTGGCTCCAATATCCTGAATGAACAAATGGCGTATGAACCGATCGTTGGTCACCGGCTACCATGGGACTGCATCTCCTCATGATGCTCCATTGCCTTGTGGATCATACCTTCAGGTCGAAGGCTCCGGGTGTGGCCCCCTAAGAAAACCAATTGCTTCGGTTTGGGCACCCGGGCAGTATCACATCCCACGCACAAATCAAGTGACTTGGGTAGCGCATATCTTTTTGGTGCCCCCTTGTACCAATATCTATGTGTTGAAACAAATAAATATTACTTATGAGTAAATAGTATTTCATTGCAGAATATCTTACCCATATTTCGCTGACCATTTTATCATTTTTATCCGTTCGGTTATTTTGTCCCTGTTTGTACTAATTATGGACCGTTTTTATGGTGGTTTATTGTGGTGTTTGAATGAACTAATGATACCTTTGTACTTGTTGAATGCTCGATTTCGAATTCCAAATACAATACATTCGTTTGTGCCTGTGTCTTACTTCTTAATTCAATTGCGTTATTTCTGGGACTCTTATTGCGTACTATAATTCAAATAATTCGAAACATTATATTTATTCACTTTCAGCCTTTAGCCTAGACTTGTTATTATTTACTGTAGAACGATAGAGACTTACAGAAGCTAAGACAGTTTTCTAACTTTCACTGACCTGGGGTCCTTTACTCAAACGAATCTGACAAACCCCTCGATAGTAAGTAACACTAAACTGCTAACACCACATTCCTGTAAAACCCTTAATTTTGTTAAAGAGTTTATGAAAAATGCTTACAGTTTACTATTCAATTGTTGTCGGGTTTTTTTTCTCGTTTATCTGAGCTAATTGAAGTAGAAGAATATTTTTGAGATAGTGGAGAAGATTTGTAGCTCAAGTGGACGATTTTGATGAAGTATTGTTCTTTGAATTGGATGGTTTAATCATGAAGCTGTCTTCATTCTTCTGAAAAACGATGAAAACTCCACGACTAAACCATCTAGTTCAGAGAACAAAACCCCATTAAAAAAAAAATATTCTTCGTATAGTTATTCTGTAAAATAACTCTCTCTCTCTCTCTCTACATATCTATATTTAAGGTAGAGATAATTCTCTATATTTAATTGTTTATTTTTATATGTTGTTGTTTTCCATGCCTATTTTAGCTTTGAAAAACATATGCAAGAAGTTCATAATCAAGGTGGTGGGAATCTATAGCACACTTCATACTTCAATTATTACTTTTTTTTTCTTTTTTTTTTCTTATTACCTTCAAGTGTAACACTATTCTGTGAATATAAAGCCAACATAAACAATGTGGTTATTATTTATTATGTGATATTGAGTTCCTGTTTGTTTGTTATTTTTTAATGAAAAATGTCCACATGTTTTGTGTGTGTGGTCGTGTGTATATTGAAGGGGGGGGGAACTTTACAAAGTTAATTTAATTTTAGAAAATTTATTTTGCATTAGAATTGTACTTTATTTGATGAAACTTTTTTGTTAAAAATAAAACTGACTTACACTTGGCTGTTTTCTGAGTATACAAGATTCTTTTTTAAGGGGAAAATAACTAAACTCAATTGGCTTTTATTATATTGTTAAAAGTAAATGATTTAAAAAGAAAATAGATTTATAATAGCCATATTGGAACTTGGTCGATAGCAGTCGATCTGTACTACGAAGGACTTGACACACATGGCATTGATCACCACCCAGTGATCAATCAATTGTGATTACATCTCAGTTCTACAGGAGGTTAGTCACGGCTCGGATAGCTCAGTGGTAACGTCTCTGACTGTGAAGCTGGGTGACACGGGATCGAATCCGCCAGGGAGCACCAGTTCCCTCAAGATTACAGGTACAGGTGTTGACGAGTGCCTAGTAGTACGAAACCCGGGTCCAGGGTTTCTTGTTGACTACCTCCAATCACCATCTAGTCTCAACATAGTGCACGCAATGTCGAGTCACTTAGACTAGTGGCCACATTGCAACTTGGTCGATAGTATTTGATCTGCACTAAGAAGAACTTGACACACATGACACTGATCAAAACCCAGTGATCAATCAATTGTGATAGATTTATAGTGTCATGTTGTCAGGAGGCCTTCTTAAATGTTTGGGCTATCTGTTCTTGCCATCTGGATACTCAACAAATTATCTTTTTGCTTGTTTGTTTTAACACATCATTATGTTTATTAACCGCATAACCTATTCAGGTGCGTTTGTGAAAAGTTCATGACATTTCGCTGTGCAAGTTACAAAAAAATATACACTAATCAGATGTCAATTCCTGAACTCCTAATATCTAACTAGCAACCACCCAATTTTTATCGTAAGGGTCGATCAAGAAATAAGAAATGGAAACTTGTTGAGATACTTTGTACTGAGAATTCTATATTGTACCAAGATTATAATACTGAATAAAGCCAATAATAATAACTTTTGGATCTTAAGAAACAAATCAGAGTCAACCCAACAATCTACTTGAATTTACAAATGTTGAAATAGTGAATTTTTATTGCTATTCCTAAATGTTCTTTACTGTACTAATTGGGGATCATGATCGAAATTCAATTTTTAAAAAAAACATGGTGTCACCATTTATATCGAGTTATCAATCTTCATGTTTATACTAATTTAGTGAATCACAATTATGTGGCTTGTTTGAATGAACATTTATATAAAGTAAATAATTGACCAAATAGTAATTTAGCTATTTGTGATGGCCTAATTTATAAAATTCTGTCAATTTTGTAGAATTCGAACTCAAGGTTTGTGAACTAGAGGTAGAATAATTTGAAACTAGCGACATGTATCTCAAAGTACTAGTACTCTTAGAAAGACGAAATAATAAATACTGTGAATAGCACAAATAATACTATTAATAGTAATAATAATAACTGATGAGGATCTAGTCAAAATTATTATGGGAGTGATATACTGACATCTGTTTCTTCCTGAGCATATAAGTTTGGTTTAGGTATCTAATGACATCTGCTGTCGGATATTTTTTGACTGTCGTCTCAGGCTCTTTGGAACGTGTTTGAAGATACTGGAATACACTATTCTTTTTCAATGTATGTGCTCCAACGTACACTTGTAAATTGATGTGGTAGGAAATAGTAAGGAAAGGAAACTTGTCGATTTTTGTCTTTTAACGGAGTTCATCTCATACAAGGTAATAAGTCTTCTCGCTGAATGAATAATCTTCAGAGCATCATTCATTCTGCGTTTGATTAATGCAATAATTTTAACCCTTTCGGAGTCAGGCCATAGTTAATAAGCTGTATTTTAGTTATATCGCACTTCAAGGGTTCGTTCTGTGTCTCCGCATACTTATCCATGCATTTCTTTGGATACCTATTGTCATATGATGTTGCAAATGGTCGAACATATACAATATTTTCCTCGCATTTTCAATTATTACTCAGCGTGGGTATTTTTTACTGTTTCTCAACCTTAAACTACTAGTAAGACCAGGTTTCCTAGTTCTTAAAAAGTGGTTGTTATTACGTGTGCAGATAACCGGAATAACATGTATTCGAACTCATTTTTGTAATGACACCTACTGTCAGTCGACTGGTTATTCCCACTTTCAGTTTTCTCATCCTATTTTGACCCAAAATCATGTTTATTACTATGTATACACAGTTGTTTCACTACAAATTACACTTCCTTAATATCAAGCTTCTTCCATCGCTTGGTGGATTGTTGTTGAAGTGTTGTATATCAATTGTCCAATCTATCAAGTTCGTATAGATCCAGTTTCGTATCAGAATATAACAATCGTTCGCAATCAAGAATAACTGTAAGACAAAACTTAAATATTTTAAATTAATCATTATATGGCCAAGTGAATTAAAAAGATCATGAAGAATATATTTCACTAAACACTACGAATTGGCTATTACTCGAAGTAGTTTATATCACATTGAGCAGTATAAAGATGATACCTAGCTAATGGCTAGAAGAAATCCTTATTTGGCCAAAAGATATTATTTTCTATACGCTGTTAAAATGTGAAGACGGTTAGACGATTTATGCTGATTGATCTAACAACCGAACAAAGTATTCAGTAGAATTACTTAGACCATGTGGCAGCATTAATTAAAATATGAAGTAGAGAAACTTCTATCGCCAAAACAAAATGAATTCATTATATTCAAGGCTTAATCAATATATTTGAAACCGGAAACAAATTAATATGTGTATCAACATGTTTCTAAAAAAGTATGTCTAAAATACTGTAAGTTATTTAAAAGTTTAATAGCTAGGCTCTCGATGAGTAGTGGATATCTGTAGAGGATTCAAGACAGTGAGTTAACAACTAACGCTAATTTTGCTTCGTTTTTTAAAGGCGACTGCTATCAAATCATTCTAGCCTAGGCTATTTATACGGAAGGAAAGTGTGATAAGCCATGTTAATTAATTCTCTAGTCGTTTACTACTTTCATTAAGATTATGTATTGTGCAGTCGTTCACGTTTGATGATGATAACAAAACCTCCTATTTGAAAGCCTAGACTAGCTATCTGAATGTAAAGAAGGATTTATTGACGACAATTGAACCGAAAAGATATATACATTCATTCACAATTATATATAATTTTCCCATAAAAAAACAAAGCCAAATCTCTAATCGATATCGTGTCATTTTTTAGAAAATGAAACCAAGTCTTAGCCAGTGGTGTCCACATTGAGCCAATTAGAATTAGGCCGAAAGATAAGTATAATTTTTTGGGTTCAGCTGTCAGAATTGAGATGGAGGTAAATCATTCGTAATTATTGATAATTATACTCTCATCTTCTCTACTTTATATCATTAATTTCTTTGACACATGAATGTGTCTATTTTAAATATACTGAATCACGTATTTGTGTCCTATGTAAATTCTTGGTTCCATTTTTGGTATCCAGTTGAACACCAATAACTAAAGGCTGCCGAACGTTAGTTTATTATAAACGGTCTTACTCAATGGAATTTTAATCTGTTTACGGTTAATGCAAAGCTTTAGAATAGAAAGGATTTGTTTCATTCGACAAATATTGGTATTTACATTCTTTTTAGATCTATACAATGATAAAGCTCTATGAGATAAAAGCAATTATTTACTGTATTTCAAATGTACAATGCTAAAATGGTAAATATGTATATACGATGGAAAGTAGGATTTAACTGTTCTGTTTACATTGAGGAAGTTGAAAACCTCTAGCAACTAAATAGATTTCTGATGACTCTTTTCGACTAGCTTCCGGTTTCATAAAACGTGTAAATGAAGAACACTTTGAATTTAATGTATAAAACTGTGAAACTGTTTGTTTAAATTCTTCAGCTTCCGCACTTTCAAATAATTTAATCACGAAACTGGCCCCTTCTTTTGAAACACTGATTGCTACCTAGAAATAAAAGTTTCCGAACAAGAGATCAACATCTTTTTTGGATATCTTAAATATGCATCTTAGTGACAGTTTTTTTTTGCAATTACAAATTACGACACATTTAAGTACAATAGAAGAATCAATTTCCAAACCAGTAGGGACAGTAGTAAACACTAAACTATCAAATAAGTGACTTGTTTTTCATTCTGGGGAATCATAAAAAGTTTACAACTACTTATAATCTTCAGTCTGTAAGTAGTTATTAATGGAAATTCGTAGAAAAAACCGGACCATTTCAGTTAGTTGAGATGCACTAAGTTAATGAACGACATGCAAAACAACTAGTAGGGAGTGGAACTTTTTCTGTACTACTGGAGTAACATTTATACTATATCAAAACCTAAGGGAAGATCCATTATATGCTAGCTCACCACCTTATTTTATACAGTAATATTAGACATTTAAACTGATTTTAGCCATGTTTACCATTGCAGGCGAGAATAGTTGTTTCATCACTTCAATAACACAGAAATAAAACTACTGGGTGTAATACAGCTTCAAGCAACAAGTTATACAATCAGCATAGCCTGTTATTCAGATTTTAATAATAAATGGGTCATTAGTCAAACAACAATACACTAAGATTGTCTCAAAGTTCAAACTCGATGTCAGTTATGGACTAAAAATAACTCAATTTCCCTATTCTAAATCGTTATACACATATAACCTTAGGTTCATACTAGTTGTGTGAACGCCGACAGTGACGTGATATGCGAAATCCCTTTATGTATAAATGAAAGCCGAAAATACCCATCTTAATCATTGGTACCATCTTGATGTTGGTCTGGTTATAAAATGTTGAGTTTACAGCGCGTTGGTGAGAGAGATTTTTACCTTATGATTGTGAAATCTAGTCCCTTGATGTTGAGTTTGTTCTGTGACTTTACATTCGATGACCGTTTTCTCCGGAGCATTGGTGACGAAACTATATTACTGATACTGAGGCTTGTGTATGTATGTTCGAGCACTTTGATTATCATTCAATTAGTGTTGCCATCTTGATATACTGGCACCAATGGGGTTGACATGTTCTATAAATGTCACCCCACGGGCTAGCGCACATCATTAATTGCCGATGCTATTCTTCATTTTTAGACCGAACCCTGATCCCATCCCTTATTTCTTCACGATGTTATCTGTTTTTAATTTATATGACATATTCTATTCTTAGTTTCTGGATGTACTAAATTTTATATGTTAAATAAAATAAATAAATTATTACATAACACAACGACAATAAATTACATTCTGATAAACTAACTTACTCGTAAAATATTATACGCTAATGTCATCATAGCTGGTATATCGATTTCACGCATTCCTGACACATTTGGAGCTATGTCACTGAGGACAATATCAACACCCGGCAGTGATTTCTGTCTCTCGGATTGTAACGGTTTACGGCCATTATCATTATTGTTAAAATGATTGGAAATTGATTGATTAATTAAATTTATACATTCAGACCAATTATTTAAATCAACACCACAATATGTAATAACACCAGGTAATGGTGCGAAGTTTAACAAATCAAGACCAATTACTAAACCTTTATTTTGATTATTTGAAGCTTTGAAATTATTATTACAATTGGTTAAAGATGAAGCTACTTGACACCATGATCCTGGTGCAGCACCACAATCAACAACAATATCACCAGGTTTAAAAATTCCACCGGAAATTTTATCATTTAATTGTAATAATTTGAATGCGCTACGACATCTATAACTTTCAAGATGAGCACGTTTTACGTAAGGATCTGAACGTTGACGTGCAATCCATCTCTATTCAAAAAAAGGATATATATATAGATAGATTCGATAAAGGTAACTGAATTCATTAGAAACATATCTACATCTTATTTTCTGTGATAATTTCTAGTAAATGCATGACAATGGTATCTATGGGAAATGCGTTTTGATTAATAATGTATACTTCAATTCTGGGATTAAAATGAGTGATTTTATTTAAGTAATTAAAATGTTAATGTGGTGTACAGTATAAGTCCCCTTATACAACACATTAATGTCTAATGAACTCAGTAACTGAATGGAATTGTGCCTGCTGCAATATCCAAAGGATCCTGAGTTCTATCAACATGTAGGATATGGTTCTGAAGTACATTCCATTCTCGATAATTGAATGTAACGAGCATATCTTGTCATAAATTGATATCAAAACTGTCAAAAATAACTAAATAGCTCAGACAATATTGAACCAATATTCATCTCACAGGATCTGTACCAACTTTTTAATTACAAGTATCTTCAATGTATTCAAATCGTTTTTATGCAGTGTATACAAAAAAAATACGATTTTGTTTGATACTATTCAATGATACTATTGAGTTATAAATAAAAACTTTCGTTTAATCACTAGATAAAATGATAAAAACATTCCCGGTAGAGATCATTAACACATACATAAAACTAATTTACAATAAACTAACTTGAGAGCTCCCATTATTTGAACGAATACTAATGATTAAACAAGATAATGCTTGATTCGTTAAGCAATATGGCAAACTCCTTGAATTCAACCAATAGAGTGAGTGCTAAATAAACAAATACAAACCTGATAGATTAGTGTTCGATTATAAATGATAGATGGCTTGTGAAGATTGTTGAATTTTATAGTTTACATTACGCGTTGACCTTAGTTACAGAATCATTGGAAACCAAGGAACAGTGGATAGTTCCTACATCCTAGTTTGAAACTCCTCGGCAGTGCATAACCACGAACCACTGGCGGACGAACCTACAACCTTCAGGTATCGCAACGAAATATATTTCCCACGGTTCTAGTGGGAAACCATGACCGGCAGATTGCAACTATACCGGGTATTTGGGAGTTACACATTAATAGCAAATGGAAAATGGTTACGCAATGTCGCGAACTGACTGAAGTCATAGACGTAAACCAATGAGTGTCGACTCAGTGATCTAAGGGTGCTCCCAAATGCCCTGGTACAGCCGAGAGTGGAGAAAGTCAGTTCACCCTTTCGAAATGCTCTCACATGGCCACGCGTATATACTCTACCAGGGAAGTCCTACTCACTGCATTCTCATGCCATTACTGTCGTTGACGAAACTGAGAGGACGAAAAACGAATGTGCGTCGTTCTAACCGGGTTGGTGGACATGGAGAGTCCACCGAGTGGAGTTGGGAAACCCTAATTCCAAACCAATGGTGAACATGAGCTCCAGGATCCTGAGGAAACAAATGGCGTATGAACCTATTGTCGGTCACTGGCTACCATAGGACTGCATCTCCTGACGTTGCTCCACTACTTTGTGGATTATACCTTTAGGTCGAAGGCTCTGGATGTGGCCTCCTAAGAAAACCACCTGATCCGGTCTAGGCACCCGGGCATTATCACAGCCCAAGTAAAAATTAAGTGACGGGTAGCGCATATGTATTCGGTACCCCTTTGTACCAATATTTATGTGATCAAATAAATAAATAAAATAAGATCTAACGGTTAGGTGTTTAGCATGAGAGTCCCTGATGGGGTTGTAAATGCAGATTGCTTAGGAGTTTTATAATAAGAGGAAACAGCTGTTCAGTGTTTCCGGATTTTTGTTAGTTCTGTAACTAAGATCAGTTCGTCAAGTAAACTATATGATTTCTTATAATTTGATTTCGATAAATGAGCCATAAACGACCAATTTCATTATCAAAATTGAATTTATAACAACAGGTGTAAGTCATGTACCTGCGCAAAGTACAACACTTACGTTATGATAGGGGGTGTCCGAGATCTGAGACTGATACACAAATTGCTGTGCGCTAACCCCAAAAAATTGACTACTTACGAGAGAAGACAACAATGAAAGAGAAAGTCTATTGGGCCGTTAAACAACATGCATAAATACTTATTTATATAAACATATTTCGACCCCCTAAAAATGGATCAATCTCTTAGTCAATGATATGCATTTGTCATTCAAGGCATTTCTGATTGTCATCGAGTGATGATGGTTATTTGTACTTATTGGAATCTGAATGATATTTAACACTATTTACAATTGCTACTAACATTTCTGACTCTTTCAAGGAATAAGATGTTTTTTTTAAAAAAGGCACAAATGCTTTGTCCATGTTGAATATACATGGAGATCGTCCAAACTTATATTCAGTTAGATGAACTTTTGTCGCTCTTGCTAAATTTTCACGCTACATAGTGAAAAGTCATTAGTTCTTAACAAACTAAGCCAAGTGTAAATTCTATATAAAGTATCCTGTCCAGTAACTAATTTGTCTGACAGTGATACATTTTTAAGTGGAAAGAATACACATAGAATCAATAATTTCGGATAATAACCACCATTTCTATTTCACAACTTTTAATAGATGATAAACCAACTTTAATGAATTTTTGGTTATTTATTATCACTATTATTACAGAAGGCCCTGGGTCCGAGTCCCGCGAGCGGGATCGTGGATGCGCATTACTGAAGAGTCCCACAATAGGACGAGACGGCCGTCCAGTGCTTCCAGGTTTCCAAAGGTGGTCTAACACCACTCGGTTCATGATCTCAATCAAAAACTTAATAATCTCCACAACCCCTATACTAGTATTTATTATCAGTCTGAAAATCCCTTTGATTTGATTTATATGATGAAAATGACATTTATCTTAGTCTTTTGCACCAACAACTCGATAAGATCTGGTTCCATATTTGGATTATTCATTTGTATATGGAGTCACAAACATAAATTGAATTAAGTGAATTAAATCGTTTTAGTAGAAACAAATTCGAATATTTCCTTAATTTATTGCAGCTGAACAACTACATTTCAATCGATTGTTGTGACAATGAATGAAATATATTTATCATACACTATAGCAACAATTAATTTGAATGTCACATGAGACTCTAAGACTATGTGAAATTTCAGAGCGTCAGTGACTTATAATTCTTTAGAGATTTTCAAAACGTAAAAGCTTCGTTTGTTTTATCTTTTGAAAGTGCTAACATCACCAAATATCCATGTGTAAATAGTTTCGACCTTATAGACACTGAATTAAAAATAATTCGGTTATTTCGAGGAGATCTGAATAAGACATAGATGTATTAGAGCTTAGAAAGATTTTTATTTAACGATACTTTATTCTGTACTTACGTCACCAAACCAACTATCAATAGATGACAAATAATCTTACCAAGTAGTAAAGAATGACTATGTTCTCATTTATGACTAATTACACTGGAGTGGATCGACAGTAGTTCCTTTGAGAAGCCATGATCTGTTGAATCAGTTGGCCTGGAAAAGAACTATATACATGCAGAGTATAATGAACAATCGTGACGCTGTCTTTCAAAATCGATTGAATTTTAGGGTGGTGATAACTAGGTTCCGACTCACTAATTGAGTAATACTGCAGTATATACAATAATTAATGGTCTTGGGTTAGATTTTTGCGCATTGTTGAAGAGTCTCCTACAGTAGGAAGGCACGAAGTGGCCAAAGATTCTTGAAATCAATTGTTCTCTAGCTGATATACGTTTGTGATCACATCATTATTAAAATACTTTTGTTTTAATTGAATTTATTCGCACACACACACACATAAAGTGTCATCTACACTGTTATTTTAAGTAATACCTGCGATGTATCCTTTGATCATTAGACAACGGTCGCTAAATGATGTCACCAAACAATGAAGGTTCATAAATCTAGAAACGTATGAGCTCTTTAGAAGCTAAAGATATAGACTGAGCAATGAAAATAACTAACTAAACAAACATTAACAGAAAACAACACCTCATACAATTATCTATAGGGTTAAATCATCATCATTAAAATGAAATCAAGAAACTAAGAGATCACTAAGATAGTATATTTCATTATATTAATTAGGTAATAGAATATAGACATATACAAAATATCACACTTATCAATACTATACTATTTAGATAGTTTTATTGTATCCAAAAGATTATGTGCTTCATACAACAAATGTATGGTCTATATAAAATTCATTACTTTTACCAATAAGATAAGATGTTATTGGTGCAAAATTGGATATATCCCAATGAAAAGAATAGGCATATTGACGGAATACTAAAATGATAAACATTAAAACAACTAAATACAACAAAAGTGTTCTGATGAAATGAATCATTCCCTGGTTACTAGGATATAATATATTATATGTAAAATTTGATAGATTCATTAATGTATAAAAATCTGGTGGAGGCCATAACCATAAACCACGTTTATTTGCATCACGTATAATATGACTTATAAATGGAATAAATATGAAACACCAAAATATAGTGAAAAATCTATTGAATTTTAAACATATAGGATAAGATATGAAAAATAAACCAATAATTAAAAGAGTATAAATAAGTAGATATAAACCAGCCCAATGTAAAAATGGTCTACCAGGAAGTTGACGTGCAAGCTGAAAAGAAGTATATATAGAAAGTATTAAAAGAGAAACTGTTATAATTTTAGTTTGATTATAGAAATATAAGAATAGTGATTGATATAATCAAACATTTTATGTCTGTTACTCAATGATTCTGCCGTTTTTTAATATGTTGTGCAAGAAGGTAGCGATAGAATATGTCTATGATAATCAGTGTCAAAGAAATGAAATTCAAATTTGTTAATCAAATACATATTTAACCATTGGTCATTGAGTCATAAATCTAATGATAGGGAGAGGAGGCTAGTGATAGTATCTGAGTACCTAAATCGAATTATGTCTAGCATAGTTTGAACATGAAACCAGTGATTGAATCACCGTACAAGTGAAAAAAGAATGGCCATGTTGTTCTATGAATGGGCAGAAAGATGACACTTGATGATATGATGTAACCTATGACTTAATAGCCGTAATTACTAAGTCAACTCTCTATTGAACAAGTAAGTGGTTGTCTTGTCTTAGTAGCTAAGTGGGTAACCAGTTGACGTTTGAAACGAGAGGTGCTGGGTCTGAGTCCCAGTGTGAAAATCAACATTATGATGGTGGTTTATCCAAATGACGAGTCTCACGTAAAACGGAACGTACATCTTAGATTTTACTACTAGTCACAACTCACGTATTCTAATAAAACATTGTATTTACATTTCTATTCATAATAGTATGACCTTCACTTGTGTTTTTATTTGAACACATATATATTGGTACAGGAGTGCGCCAAATATATATGCGCCACACAATTTCAGTTCATTAATTGCGTGTGGGCTGCGTTACTGCCCGGGTGCCCAGACCGAAGCAGGTGGTTATCTTAGGGGGCCACACCGAGCCTTTGACCTAAAGGTCTAACCCACAAGGCAGTGGAGCATCGTAAGGATATGCAGTCCCATGGTAGCCGGTGACCGAAAATTGGTTCATACGCCATTTGTTCCCGCAGGATACTGGTACCCATGTGCACCATAGATTTGGAATTCGGTTAAAGCGCCGGACATTCGCTTTTCGTCCTCTCATTTTCGTAAACAACACCCCCGTCACGAGAAGGCAGTGAGTAGGACTTCCCTAGCAGAGGCTGTATACGCGCGGCCGTGTGAGAGTATTTCGAGAGGGAGGGCGAACCCACCCCGCTCTCGGCCATACCAGGGCGATACTTTATTCCTGTTAACTATGCAGATCGATGCATTTCAAAGTAAAGATATATAAATTTTTAAAAAAAAGCCTAGTAACACGCACCATATTTACTTAAGTACCTTATAAATAACCGTTAGCAAGGCTCGATAACAGAAAAACAAAACGTAATGAGCAGCCACATGAAACCAAAAATGTCATTTAAACGTGACAATACGACACGTACTTCAATGCTTGTACTTCCTGAAGCTATAAAATGATCAATATCCGGTAGTATTGCACCGAATGCTGCCCAAAAACATGACTCAAGAGTCATAATTATATTTTTTCGGTAACCTGTGGTATATAAATCTAGTTTACCATTTATACTAATCAAACAACATAGCCAAAACATTGAACCAGTTAATCCATGGGTAAGAGTTTCCAAAAACAAATGTGTATGAGAACCTGAGTTGACTGATTTGCATAATCTAAATCGTAATTAGATCGATGCATAATTACTACAAAGATGAACATACATTTCAAGTAACCATAATGAAAGGGAACCAGTCAGGATTAGGAATACTTCATAATTTATTTCAATAATCTAAAAAGAATCTGTATGAGGACGTAAAACTATTATTTTGGTTTACGAAAAAAACGGAGTGTTACAAAAATTACGATTTATTGTTTATGATTATATACAAAGTTTTTGATAATAGTCTGTTTATCCAGAGTTCCGTGAAGCATCCTCGTCACCATCATTTTCACCTTGAAATCTAACTAACTCTTGTTCAGCATCGTCAAACGCTCGATTTGAAGGATCAACTTCTTCATCATACTGTAAACATTGATCAATTTGAACTAATAAGTCTGTTATAGTATCTTCTTTATCCCTGTTTAATGGGACAAAATGAACTACACTGTAACGCTCAATCAAATCAGCTAGTGCATGAGTAAGTTTATTAAATGGGGCTTCCTTTTCGTGATGTTCCCCACCGTCTTCTTCATCAAATACTTGATCTAGATCAAAAAAGTAATCCATATCAGGATTTAGATAACGAGCCATGACATATTTTTGTTTTTGTTCAGATAACAAATCAAGTTTAGACATTACGTTTATATGAGCAGTTGATAAGGATACCATAGCAGAGAGAGCAGACAATACACCAGCTAGAAAATGTGATGAATCTACGAGAAATCTAGCATCCAAAATAAATATTGTAACAAAACGAAAATCCCATTTTCTTTGCATATATTCAATTATTCGTGGCATAATCGGTAGGTGTGAGTATAATTCAATTTGACCAGGACAATCAAATAATAAATAGTCTCCATCTATATCGCCAAGTGCAGTATCCAACCAGTTCAAATTTTGTTGAAGATATTCTAAGCAGAAAATAAGTCCACCGTTTGGACCTAAACGTATAGCCTCGTCTTCCATTACATCATCTAACTAAAATTATCCTAGAAAAATTCAGATTAAATAACTTACATGAATAAGGTCTCGTATATCCGCTAGTGGAGTATATTCAAAAAACTCCGCTGCAGGGTCCAAATTGACCACATCAACTTTCCTCCTCAATGTTTCACAATGAGCTTGCATTGTACTGCAATAAGTTGATTTCCCACAACCAGCTGGCCCTATCACCAGCTGGGCAAATCTAGGCATTATCTTGAATAAATATGCCACGAGAAACCAATATGCCCTAGCAAGAAATAAGAATCATTTTCAAATACGGCAAAAAAGTGAGACTTAGGTGAACTAACTTGGAAAGTAAAATCAGACTTTAAAGAATATACATAAAAACAATAATTAGCTTTTTATTTACGATTTGGTGTCTGATTTCGACATAGATACGAAATCTCCCTGTGCACAAGTCCAACTGGCAGCGAGAGTGAGAAGGAAGTTTATAGACTAAACGGAATCTGGAACGTACTCACACTATATATATATTAGATTAGATTAGATTAAATTAAGCCACCAACGGCGTACGTCTCATTCCCTAGAAATGCAAGCTATTTCTTGACCAGTCGCTTGCACCTATCGTTGGATCAATTTTTAATTAGCCCAATGTACCACGTTGGTCTTAATTTTATGGACACGTGTGTTATATAGCAATTTTACATCACTATTGGGGACAATTACACTCCTTTATCATTTAGATTTTAGTTTTTCAATTTCTGTGATGTGAAGTGTAGAACTAGATGTAGTACACGTTTTTACTACATTAGATGTAACTAGATTGCTAAATTTATTATACAACTTTACGGAACACATTTCGCAAAACAGTTTGTGCGAGCTAAAATCATGACTGGTACATCACATTGATTGACGGTTCATTATTTGTTTACCTACGTGTTCCCTATTAAATTTTTAATGTGAATATTGGAGTGGAGTAGTATGTTGGTGACTAAAGTCCTTTATAATTTGACTAATGGATTGTAGGTCCAAGTTCCGACATTCCACGTTCGATTCGATAGCTGCATAGTATCGATACCCATAACTATATGGCTCAGTTAATGCACATAAACTTGAACATGATAAGTCACATTACCATGATTTATAATAAGTGTAATAATATAAAAACATGGTGGACTTGAATGGACATAGTATTACGGGGAACATTTTTGCATTAAAAATCGAGTGATTTCTCAAAAAACATATATTAGAAAGACTGAATGATTACTACTAATTACCCATAGGTTTTATTTTCTTACATGTTAAACCTACTGATTGCAAACCCATGCTTATTAACTATTCTGGAGAAAATACGCCTGGGAATTTGTGGGATATATTGAAACCAATAGAAATAAGTGGGTGCATCAAATTTGTATTTTATGTACACTGCTTTCCATGTATAATCATAACTACAAGCTAATAACTAGCAAAAGAATTTGACCAGCCACAGGTAACAACAAACCATGTTTTTTTAATCCTAAGCTAGACTTGATATGACGCAATTATGTTATTTAATTTGGGTTGCAAGATAAATGCTCGTTTCAAAGTTGTCAACTTCATTTTACATAAACAGTAGGTAATAAGGTAAAACTTATCAAGTAAATATATTCAATATAAAGCAAATACAATGACTCTTTAGAGAAGCCATGGAATGCTGAACATGTGAAAGAATTAATATTTTTGATAGCCAATAACCCACTACATATCATTTCTTTTTCTATTAGATCACTTCTTAGCGCCAAATATCAACAAGTAGCCTTCACAACGGTATAAAATTATTGTACGATAACTGCTCATATTTCCTAAATTTTACATACTATTAATTAAGTAATCAACATCTTTGTGATGAGCTAATGTAAATAATCTGACCCCTTTACATTTGCTTCTTGATTTCACGTTGCAGTCTTGCATCTATAATTTATGGACGACCTTTCAGCGATACTAAACTAACCTTGAAAGTGTCCACCTACTAACTAGGGCTAAATGAGGGTTATAAAGGAGTTTGAACAAAAAAGGGTTATGATTTACAGTCGATGGTTAAGGTTAGGAATTACTTATAATGTTTTCATCACGAACTGGCATCAGCTATAATGCCAAAACTCTACTCAGTCAAATGTGTGAATGAATTTGCGCCAAAATCTAAGACTTGTTATTGTAAATCTGATTGCTTCGTCCATCAATTATAATGCAGTACAAGATATTAATATGTTTATAAACGTCCGAACTCCTAATTTTGGGGGGAATTTGGCCCATTTTAACGAAATTTCAGGAAAGCCGCTATAGTCAACTTTGGAGAAATGGCACAAAGCCCACAAAATATCCCCAGACCTAGGAGAATTCCACAATATTTCCACGAAATTCCCCTTTGACCTTGTTCAAGGTCAGTTACCTTTAGGGATTTCCCCGAAATCTCCCCCAAGCATTGGTGAAGGTCATTTGACTTCGGGAGTTTCCCCGAAATACCCCATAATTTCCCCAAACTTGGAAGCTCGGGTGCATTTATGAGTACTTCAGTCAACGTTTGTAAACTTCCATAATTGATTTTGCTTGTCCACTACTAAGCTTCATAATATGAGCAAATAGTGAACTCGACCCAGTAATAACGTGGAAGACAGGAGGGAGTGGTACAGATTAAAATGCAACATAACAGGAGACATCTCATCTTACCTATATGTAACGTATAGCTTGAAAACCCCGCAAGTTTGGAGTTCAGATTTCAAATGGTTCAAATGGTTCAAATGGTTGTGGACGGAATAGAAGAAGCTTTCGCTTAACAGACTTCCGTGTCTAGTAGCAGGGGATCACCAAATCCTCCAGGCAGGAACCTAGGTATGTTAACAATAAAAGAGGAAAAGAAATTGGTAAATCATAGTGCGATGCTGTCCTTGGTCCTTAAGAATAGGTCAAGTTGCCTCTTGAAGGACTACTGAGAAGTCGCTTGGACTAGCTCGGCCGGCAGCGAGTTCCAGCTTTTGACAACTCTTAAGGAGTAGAAGTTGTGTCAACATTCCGTCTTGCTATGTTGTGTTTCCAGTTTCTGGGTGTTACCCCTTAGGTTATTGTTCGAACTAAGCTTAAGTAGGTGTTTAAGAGGATGTCCAGAAGTGTAAAGAATACTATAAGCCATTAATAAATCACCTCTAAGACGCCTATATTCCAGTGGGTAAAGGTCTAGTGAACGGAGGCGTTCTTCGTAAGGCTTAGATTTGAGTCCTCGAACTGATTTCGTGGCTCGCCGTTGGATACGCTCCAAAGTGACCTTATCCTTTTGGAGTGAGGGGGGAGTACTATGTTTCCGTACTCTAAATGGGGACGGATGAAACTATTGAAGATTGTGTGGAAAGTTCTTCCGTCAAACTGACCAAAAATGCGCCTCAACGTTACCAGTGCAAGGTTTGCTCGGAAGGCATTTTTGTCACAGTTAGCGTAAGACTTTAAGTCATGGGGCACCAGGACTCCTAAATCTTTTTCGACTTGGGACACTACTAGAGAGGAGTTTCCTAAGTTATAACTGTAGTCTGCGACATGTCGCAGATGGACTACTTTACACTTAGAAGTGTTGAAGGTAAGTCCGTTATCGTCGGCCCAACTTTGAAGTCGAGTCAGATCCTCTTGAAGTGCCTGTATATCGTCTTGGTTGCGTATCTCTCTCCAAAGTTTCACGTCGTCGGCAAAAAGTAATAAGTCTGACGTTACCTGTTGAGGAAGATCATTTATGTAGATCAAGAAGAGAAGAGGCCCTAGTACTGAGCCCTGGGGGACCCCACTAGGACATTCCATAGCTTGAGATAAAGTGAAATTAACCCTAACCTTAAAGTGTCGATTTTTTAGGTATGAAGTAAGCCAGTCGATTAGAGGTGGTTTGATACCTAGTCGTTTGAGCTTGTTGATAAGACACAAGTGGTTAACCTTATCAAAAGCTTTTGAGAAATCAAGGTAAATGACATCAACCTTTCCCTTGCGATCGAGGATGCTTGTCCATCTGTCCACCGCAGTCAGCAGGTTGGTTATACAAGAGTAACCCTTCCTGAAACCATGCTGTTGGGGTGAGAAGAAATTTAAGGACAGTAGGTAGTCATTTAAACCGTCGCATATCAGGGACTCCATGAGTTTTGAAGGTAACGACAGAAGAGCTACCGGCCGGTAACTTGAAGGTTCATTGCGTCGACCACCTTTGAAAATTGGTGTGATGTGAGCCAACTTCCAATTTTCCGGTAGTTTGCCTCGGCTAAGCGAGTGTGAAAACATCACGCTAAGCGGCGTTGCCAGGATTGAGGCTGCCTCCCTCAGTATGGCAGGATGAACCATGTCCGGGCCAGGAGAAGTGTCGAGTCTTAAGTGCTGTAGTTTCCGGAACACCAAGTCAGCGCTTAGGTCCACTTCAGAAAGTCCTGTGGAATTGCAGATGAAACTGTCGTCAATAAAGTTGATATCAGCCGGTTGAAATGTTTGAGAGTAATGGGCCGCCAGAAGGTTAGCGGCGTCGCCATCGTTGTTGGTCGGGCCGTTAGGACCTAGCAGTTGAGAAACTCCTGTTTTGGCTTGACGAAGAGAGGCTGCATAACGGAATAGGCTTCTAGGGTTAGAGGCGAATTTGTCCATAAGCTTTGTTTGGTACTGAAGCCTGTCTTCTCTTATAGCCTTCGTGCATGTGTTCCTGATATGTTTGTATTGCCTATACGCTCCATCGTTATTAGTTCGTTTGTATTCCGCCCAACAGTGCCGTTTGCGGCTTAGGAGGCGAAGGGTACGGTTCTTGATTACTGTAGGTGGCTTGAAGCTTTTGGGAACCGTTTGAGGAACTGAATGGTCTGTAGCACATAAGAGCGTGTGCAGCAGATTTGTGTAATAAGGACAGAAAGCCTACGGTTTTTGTTATTCCTTTTCTAATATGCATCTGTGAGCATCCAGTCTTCTCTTGAAAGAGTCAACTGAACGTGCAGACACCACTGCTTCGAACAGCAGGTTCCAACCCAAGCTGCCAATTTTGGAGTTTGCGTCTCATTTCCATAAAATTTCCCTAAAATTTGCTATAGCGGTTTCCCGAAAATGGACCAAACTTTCCCCAAAGTTGGCAGCTTGGGAAGTATTGATGACTCGGTGTGAAAACCTGTATGCCACGGGTATTTTGTTCGTTCTTGGCTTTTCTACTCGCTTGCCATGTCCTCTGAGGTGTCTCACTCTATTGGGAAGAAAATGAGAGAATAAGT